CTTGTGCAATTGTAGACGCTACGAAGGTGCACAATTTAACTTTTTTTATACACCATTGTGTATACCATTGTGTAAATATTACCGTGGAATTATGAACCCATTTCTTCCTTTTGATGTTCGGATTTGCCGAATTTACGCGTCACTCGCAGTTTCCTTTTCGGAAACCTCAACACGTTTCAGTTAATTTGCTCGTATGAACTCATTCGAGCAGAGATTACTGACTCGATTCACCAAGGGTCCGAAAACTGCGCGCTCGACACCATGTGGTTGAAACGACTCTGATGTGGATGTACCTGTCCGAATGGGTGGTTATCTGTGAATTCCCACCGAGAATCCATGGTCGGTGTTAACATATAAACCTTGATACAGGAGTCCTATGGTTTTTTGTCCGCTCCCGATTTGCACAGCGAAATTCTATCCTACTGCATTTTTCGTTCCTGCATATTTGGAAGACTTGTTGTGTGGCTGACATAATTACGAATACGACGTTCAGACATCTCAGCCAAGGGCCTGGTAGATGGGCGAAGTGACATAAGTTACGTTTCAGTATGTTACAAGAAAAGAATAGCCGTCATGGTGATACTTCAGAGTCCATAGCGACTCCCTCAGTCTGCCTATATAGTGGGTTTTGATGCGGTAAATTAACTGTGGTTAGTTCAACCTGAGTAATAATATCAACAGCGGATCAGGTTTTTCTCATATATCATATCATATATACATGTTATATATATATATATATATATATATATCACATATGATACATCCTCACGCGAAATGAGATTCACTTGGCACTACATTAAATACTTCTCGGATGATTTACAGCAGTTTGGAAAAGAGGATAACTATCGTCGAAGGCACACCTGGCGGAATATTTGTTCCAACTTTCCGAAATGAGTGCGAGTTTCTTCACTTTGGTCGTTTACGGCACATAGTTTCTCGCATGTGGAACACCCGCAAATGGGATGTAGTTGGTTTTTGGTAGTTCTATGACTAAGTCAAGCTCAACAATGTTCCTATGAAGTCATTGGTTTTTATGTTCAATGATGATCTACTCGAGACAAGATCAGACCGACCCAAAAATGTCGTTTTCGGTTAGGACGGTCAACTATGGGCCCCGTTTGTGCAGTTTTCAAAGACAGATTTCATTGAGTTCTGCACTACCATTGATTACAATCAAAGGTCAGAGCAGATAACTGACTCCTAGTGAAACCGGCTAGTCGGATCTTTGGGATGCATTATCATATCCGACTTACCGACCAACCAAGAAAATCTGAAAAGGTCTTACTGGTTCTTTCTCCGCCTGGCCTGCCTTATAGACTACATGGCCTGATGAAGCTTCTGTGTCAAAAACAAAACGTTGCTCAAATAAAAACTACCGATTATTTACCAAGCCAAGCCCAAAGGATGGGTTATCAATCGGTTACGAACCTTTTTCAATTGATTGAAAACATGTCCCTTATTTCGCTGCTCATGTGACCAGCGACGGTGAGCTCCAGTGGCTGTCCGTGGGCGATAGCGTCAGGTCGAAGGTCAAAAGTAGCGGTCAGCAGACCATATCCGTCCTGACCTTCCGTTGGCCACTGGAAAACTACCAGACGTAGATTATTTGACTCAACCTGAATGCAAAGCCACCGCTTATCTTGGTCCACGCTTCCTATGCAGAAAATCAGCCTGTCGAACATCAACCAATACTTAAAGTCCTAACCCTCCCCAATGCACGATTTTGCACCTAGGCTATTACAAACGTTTATCCTCCAAAGACTGGTTACTCGAGTTCTCGCGATTATGTACCAAAGTTAGTATTGTATAGGCACTTCGATTTTCATAATCGATTGTAGTGCTTGTGCGTTACATGAAACAAGGTTTTTATGTCTAGGAAGTCTCAAGTAGGCACTGGGGCACAGGTCACAGATGCCATTAGGCTAACGTATGACTGGTTTATTCGGCAACGAAAATCACAGCCTATCTACCAACACATTGGCCCTCGCACGACCAGCCTCGTCTCACGTTTTCCCTGCTCATTCACAATAAGCCGTAGTGATTGCATTGATCGTCTGAAATGGGGGTTCA